TCATGAGACAACTCACACTGATGAAGAATCGCCGTTTTTCACTCAGAACCCATTTCAAGTGCTATCAAATACACAAAACGAAGAAATGGAAGCAGCACCCACCCCAGGGAACCCAAACCCCCACCAATATTCCTTAGGAATATTAAAAACTTTCAGTTAATGTGTCACCAATTGAATAACCTAGTGGGCTCAGGAAAATATTTATGCCAAAGCCGCACCAATGACACTAAATTAATGCCCGACACTCCAGAAACATACAGAAAAATTATAAAATATTTATCTGACACCAAGGCTGATTACCACACGTATCAATTGCGTCAAGAGAGGGCGCTCAGGGTCGTTATCAGAAGACTGCACCCATCTACGCCAACAGATGCTATAAAAGAAGAGCTCGTGGGTATGGGATTCCATGTTCGCCAGATAGTGAACATATTCAAGGAGGATAGAGAACAGCCTGGAATAAAAAGTAAAATACCGCTCCCACTATTCTTCGTTGACCTTGACCGTACGCCCCAGGTCGAAGACATCTACAAGGTCACACGCCTTTATTACACCAGCGTTGTAGTAGAAAAGCCTTACACCAAGCGCGACATCGTTCAATGCCATAACTGTCAGGCTTATGGCCATACGAAAAGATATTGTCATCACATTCCTAGATGTGTGAGGTGTGGTGAGCAACACAAAACAGAAGAATGTAGGAAGTCTAGAACTTCACCTGCAGTATGCGCCTTATGCCACCAAGGGCAACCTGCCAACTACAAGGGTTGTCAAACATATAAAGAATTAAAAACAAGAATGTACGCAACTCCTAGAGAAGAAGGGACATCCAGACCACCAAGACAACCCTCTAGAACAGTGAATGGAAGAGTGACCTATGCTCAGATGTTCAAAGGAGACACTATAAACACTCAATCTCAGGCCCTGCCACAAGAACCTCAACCTCGAGAATTCACACATCAACCTCAAGACCCATATCCACCCATCCCTGAACCTAGGTTCAATACCCAGACATACATTCCTCCTCCTTCCAATTCCACTGACCTCACAAGCCTATTAACTTCTTTCCTCTCTGAATTTAGATCCCTCATCACCCCTCTTATTTCATTACTTACCAATGTTATATCCAACCTCATTCCACCGCCGAGAAATCCATAAATGTCCTCAACCAAATCCCTCTCCATTCTCCTATGGAATGCGAATGGTATTCGAAATCACATCAACGAACTGACAATCTTATTACATGACAAAAACATCGACATAGCACTAATAACTGAAACCCGACTAACCAACAAACGACAAATCAACATTCCTGGCTACAATATTTATAGAACCGATCATCCTGATGGAACAGCACATGCTGGCACTGCTATAATTATCCACCGATCTCTCTCCCATCATTTATTTCCCTTACCAACCCATAATTTCCTACAATCCACTGCCGTAATAATCCAAACTTCCCTTTACCCAATAACATTAGTTGCGGCATATTCCCCGCCTAAAATACCCATTTCCGAATCCCAAATAATTTCCTTCCTGAATTCCTTAGGACACCATTTCATCCTAGGTGCAGATTTAAATGCAAAACACCAGCAATGGGGAGCCAGATCCACAAATTCCCGAGGGCGAACATTGCTATCTGCACTTAATTCCCATCGCAGCAATATCCTTTCACCTAATACTCCCACATACTGGCCAACAGATCCCAACCGCAATCCCGACCTTCTAGACTTTTTCCTACACAAAGGTCTAGGATCATTACACTGTTCCATTTCAAGGCTTGATGATCTTTCCTCAGACCACAGTCCTATAGTCCTAACCGTTTCCACATCACCCATTCCTAAATCATCCCCTCCTTCATTCATCAGGGGACCAGTTAACTGGAACCTTTTCCGTCAAATATTGGATGATAATATAGACCTCAGAGTTTCCTTAAAAACACCTGAAGACCTTGACGATGCAGTGGACTCCTTCACTACCCTGATCCAGCAAGCAGTTTGGACTGCATCCTCACCTGATCGTCCCAAAAAACACCTCAGTATAAATCCTCTACCCCAAGACCTATTGGACCTTATCCATAGCAAACGATGCTCTAGGGCCCTCTGGCAAAGAACCAGGAATCCTGATGACCGGAAATCGTATAATTATTATTCCAAACAGGTTAAAAAGAAACTGGATATCTTTAGAACCCAATCCTACAATTCCTACCTTTCCTCATTATCATCTAGTGATAACTCCCTCTGGACTGTAACTAAAAAAATCCTTAAATTCCAATCCATTTCCCACCCCCTCCGCCGTGATGATGGTTCCTGGGCTTCGTCAGATGCGAATAGAGCTGAAGAGTTTGCTAAACATCTATCCTACACATTCACTCCTCATCCCGAACTCCATCCCACCCACACTGCTGAAGTTAAAGAATTTCTCTCTTCACCAATTCCTCTCTCTCTACCTCCAAAACCTGTTAACCCCTCTGAGGTAAAATTCCTCATAAAAAAATTAAAACCCCGAAAATCCCCTGGATATGATCTCCTCACTACACAAATCCTCAGACACCTTCCCAAAAAAGCAATCATATTCCTTACCTATCTATACAACTGCATCCTTCGCACACCCAACTCTCCTTTGGTGTGGAAACATTCCATAATCGTGCTGTTTCCAAAACCAGGCAAACCCGTTAATAACACATCATCCTACAGACCGATAAGCTTACTCCCTATCCTCTCAAAAATCTTTGAGAAAATCCTCCTCAAACGCATCCTACCCATACTCGAATCCCACAACATCCCTTCTCATCAATTTGGATTCCGCTCAAGACATTCCACTGTCCAACAAGGCCTTCGTGTTGTGGACCATATATCCTCTGCACTTGAAAACAAGCAATATTGCACTGGTGCCTTTCTGGACGTAGCGCAAGCTTTCGACCGGGTGTGGCACGATGGCTTGCTTTTCAAGCTCAAAACCCATTTACCCCAATCCTTATACCTAGTCCTCAAATCCTATCTCTCAAATCGTTCCTTCCAAGTCCGTTGCTGCACCGAATTCTCCACTTACTATCCAGTTGAGGCTGGGGTTCCACAAGGCAGTGTTTTGGGTCCAGTACTCTACATCCTCTTCACTGCCGATATCCCTTCAAATCCCGATACCTTCCTAGCTACATTTGCTGATGATACTGCCATTCTATCTTCCCACTCAGATCCTCAAATAGCATCTCTAAACCTACAATCTCACCTCTCCTTGATTGAACAATGGTGCAACAACTGGCGCATCAAAATCAATGAAGCAAAATGCAAACATATTACTTTCACCCTGCGACGCAGATCCTGTCCCACAATCCTTTTCAATTCAATACCACTTCCCTACTCAGATACAGTCCGTTACCTTGGCTTCCTTCTAGACAAAAGACTAACTTGGAACCCACATACAAGACTTAAAAGACAAGAACTTAACCAACGATATGGCCAGCTATATAGACTACTAAGCAGGACATCTCATCTTTCGATTGAAAATAAACTTTTAATCTACAAGACAATACTGAAACCTATCTGGACCTACGGACTTGAACTGTGGGGAACTGCTAAACATTCGATTATCAAACGCATCCAATCCTTCCAGTCCAAAGTACTTAGAACAATAGTCAATGCCCCATATTATGTCACAAATAAGACCCTACACCATGACCTTAACATCCCATTTGTCCTCGACATCATCCCATCCAGATTCTCAAACTTTCACCAGAACCTTATCCATCATCCAAATCCTCTAGCTCAATCCCTATCCAGCTCCCACCATCCCTACAATCCCCCTCGAAGGTTAAAACGGCAGTGGCCGCGAGATCTATTGTAAATATGCTTCTGGAGTCCTGGCAATGGCCAGCTTCTCCACTCAAGTCCTGAGCATCTGTGGCTCTAGTGCCCTCCTTCAGCCTCCACTGGCTTTTAATACTAGTGATGCGGCTGGAAAAGTGGCACTAGGATCTCTGGAGTCCTGCTTTGCTTTCCACATGTGGGGAGAGAAGCCTGGCTCGGAGATTCCTGGGCGAATGTATATATTGTATATAGGTATGAATGTGTTTAGAAGTTGTTATTTTATTTTGTTTGTTTATTTATTTTTTTTTAATTTTATTTATTAATTTTTTTTTTTCCTATTGATTTACTTTTTTTTATAAGTATTATTTATTTACTTCTTATATTTATAGTTACTTCTGTATTACTTGTATATACTGTATGAATGAGAACTTCTAGCCTTAATACTTATAGCCCTCCAACAGTGGCTGATTGTATTATTATTCAATAAAAAAAAAAAAAAAAAAAATTAAGAAGTTAGAAGACAACTTTTTTATTTATTATGTTTATTCGTTTTAATTTTTTGTAATACTTCACTGAGGCTCTGAAGCCCACATTTCTGTCTCTGTATATTATTCTAAAGGGTATCGTCCCAGAATAAATAAAGTATTATTATTATTTTTAAAAAATAATAATTGGAATTTTCTTACTAAATGTAAACTTTTAAACTTCCTTCTAAGTTAAAAAAAAAAAGTATTTAAAATCCACAAAATCAAGATAATGAATGGCATTGTTTAAAATATTATTTCGTTGTACTTGTGTGAAAGAAGAAGTAATAATAATAATACTATTTTTTTTTAATTTATTCATGAGTTTTACAATTGTATAAATATAAAAATACATACAGTATATTAAAATTTCCAGTTAAAATGAACTTCCAATTTTTTTACAATACATTGTCAGAAAAAAATTTATATTCAAAGTAGAGCGGTAAGCGAAAATTGTGTGATGCGCGCACCAGATTATTTTTCTTTCGTGCGCTAGTTTATCAAGACAACTAATTGAGGAATGGATCGTGACATTAAATACTCTACCCCCTTATACAGTCCATTATCAAGTTATTCAGCTTTCAAATTACTGTAGATGTTTCTCGCTGGATTCATGTTATGAAAATGTTACATTAAAAGTTATGAAAAGTTGTAATCCATCATCGAATATTTCATGGTTACGTTTGTATCGATATCATTATTATTTATACATTCAATTATAAACGATTGGTTAACAAACAATACGCCTTACACTCCTGAAGTACGCCACGATAAGATAGTGATTGTTATTTATCAAGACTCGTCAAAATTATCAACAGTAGGAAAGACAATGCACTACATCTACGTACTAGGGTTTACCTTGCTCCTCCAGGTATATATATTTATGAGTCTTACAATTAAAGCTTAAAACGGTGTGTTAAATTGGGTTATTTGCCTTAAAACATTGCATACAAAATCACGCCGATTTTAATTACTAGGAAGCAGTCTGAATTTAAAAAAAAATCATAATATTAAAGCTACATGACCCGCCCATTTCAAACGCTGTATTCTAATGAACCGGACAACATCCGTATCATTATGTATGGCGGCCAGTTCTGCATTACTCCGCCTTCTCCAATCGTTACCTGAGCGTACTGGTCCATAAATGCGACATAGTACTTTTCTTTCAAATACCAATAGCCTGTTTCCGTCTGTTTTGGAGAAGCTCCACGTTTTCGCTCCATATGTGAGGACAGGAAGAATCAGCGTCTTGTATAGAGTCGCTTTTGTTTTTCTTCTGGAGATTAAGCGATTGCTTAGATACCATCGCAGGCCAAAATAACATTGATTTGTTGCCAGGATCCTCTTACATCTTTCCTCTGATACATCATTGTCGGCATTAACTTGGGAACCCAGATAAACAAATCGTTGGATCGTTTCGATTGTTTAGTCTCCTATCGAGATTTGTGGCTATTGTGCATTTATGCCAGCAACCATATACTTGGTTTGGCTCTCATTTATAGACAGCCCCATCTTCCACGCCGACTGTTCGTGAGCTAGAAAAGCCTCCTTTACGTCGCGAAGTGATCTCCCGATCATATCAATATCGTCTGCGTATGCCAGGATATGTATAGACTTGTTAAAGATGGTCCCATTCAGCTGTATTTGTGCATCTCTGACAACTTTTTCAAGTCCCACATTGAATAGGAGGCAGGCCAACGAGTCTCCCTGCCTCATCCCTTTTCTTGTACAAAACTCCTCTGACACCCAAGCCTGGATTCTCACTTTACATTCCACCGTGTTCATTGTAAGTCGAGCTAGGCGGATTAGTTTTTTAGGGAACTTCAGTTCAGCCATCGCATTATAGAGTTGTTCCCTGTTAAAGCTATCATAGGCCGCCTTAAAATCGATGAATAGGTGGTGTATTGGACGTGAATACTCTCTTCCTTTCTCAAGAATCATTCTGAAGGAGAAGATCTGGTCCGTCGTAGATCTACCCTGCTGAAAACTGCACTGGTAGTCACCAACTACTGTTTCAGCGAACGGTAGAAGACGCCGAAACAAGACGAGCGAAAAGAATTGAATTGATATTAGATGGGCGAATTATCCGTCAAAATACTATCACCAAGAAACATTGATGTTTTTCTGATATTTTTTGTAATTTTAATGGTAGTTATGATTTGTTAGCTGTAAGGTTTTAGCTTTAGCTCGGTTAAAAATGCAATTTAAAAAATTTATAATTGCCCAACACTGCCAGAAAATAATTTCTATTAAAATTGAGCGGTATATAAAAGTTGTGTGTTACGCGAACCAGATTTTTATTTCTTTTGTTCATTATTTCCAACTACTTTTTTTAATTCTACTATTAGTTTAGAATTTCGCCGTAAAAAACGACTACAGGACATTTCATATTCTTTTTAAAGCCAGTAGAAAAAGCGTTTCTCATATTTTTCTTACCTTATCAATTTTTTTAGAAAAATGTTTGCAGCACTCTTGTAGAAATAAAAAAAAAATGTTTTTGAAACATTTAATCTTAAATTAATTTTATAAAAAAATCTTTAGTTGTTTTATGAACAAAATACATAAACCAACGAAAAAATATCCAGAACTATCTTGTTTATGAACTGCGTTTTTTAGCTAGATATCTATTATAAGAATTGATCCCTATTTATAAGTGGCATACTAAATATTTCTAGTTCTAAAATTTGCGTTAGTAAAAAAAAAGAAACTCGTTGATTGCTTAAATTATTTTGAAGAAAACGTAAATATTAGGATCGGAAATATCAAGTTTGTCAATTATAAATCAATTCCTATAGTAGAGATCTGGGTGAAAGACCCAGTTTCACACCCACTTTACGCCGTTTTTTTTTAAATTTTATAAATAAAAGTGTATTTATGCTATTATGTTTATTATAATATATTACAAATCATAGAAAAAAAATAAAAGCTTTGCAGAAATTCATCGTTGTTATTTTTACTGAAAACAAGGGTACTTTGACGTGACAGGATAAAATATCACATAATTTTTTACACAGAGATGAATCTCGAGTTTTCCCCTAACAAACCTCAACTTAATTAATATAACAGTAGTATAGTTGGATGATGATAAAAAAAAAATCGGAAATAATTTATGATTTTTTAAGAAACAGAACATGACTTAGTTTAGCAGCTCAAAAGTCCTCTTTAAATGGTTTTAAAAAAGCAATCTCTATTTTACTTTAAAGTTAATTTTATCTATTTTACAGTAAAGCAATTGTTAATTAGTTAAAACAAATGTTTCTTTAGTAATCGCTTTTAATTTAACAAAAAACGTGAAGTACTTAAAGGAACACAAAACATGGAATTACCTCTCTTCTACCCAAAATTGGCCCATTGTTTATATGAACTTTTTTGTACTTCTTGAGGTCTACTATCAGTCCTACGATAGTAATATATTTATTTTTTTATCAATAAATGAAGTTTGAGATATATTTTATTTATATATTCCATCTCTCCCCCCCAATGCTACTAGGGCAATACGGGTATTTGCGATAATGTGTTATTAGGCATGAATGCTTAATAACACACAACTAGTTAATTGAGTAAGGATGTACACACAGTTAGCAGTTCTTGTGTTGTTGTTGTTGTTTAGGGCTTAGAGGCGTAAATCCCCCAGGTCATCAACGCCTAACTAATCTTCATTTCAATTAATTCAGCAATAAATTATTTCTTCTGTTCTACTTTCTTCCTTTTTGTTTATCGGTTTCGTCTTAGCTTCCAGAATATGGAAGCTCTTCTTCTGCGGGTACCAATACGGAAGTGAGCGGGCCACAGCACCGTCTTCCATCCATTTATGAATTTCTTAAATCACGGGAAATTTTCCTCACAGACTAACTGAGGAAACTCATTTCCAGTGAGAATATAAATTTCCGCGGCTCTTGTCATTGTCGATCTCAACCTTTCATATGCGGTGCAGGTCGTGACCACGTGCTTTGCAGTTTCCGGAACACTACAGGTTGGAAAACCTCCACGTCCAGTTAGGAGAACTGGGAGAAGTTTGAGATATTGATGAGCGACGTGTTTATATTATTAGGAGAGAAAAGATGGGAATAATCCTAGAGAAATAGAAATACAGACCATTCGAATGAACAACCGACCTCTTTCATAGTTAGGGGAAATGTTCTTCACTTTCGTAGGAGTGAACAGTATAAGGAAATTGATTTTTTTTTTTTTTTTAAATACTTCACAATATAACAAAATATAAAAGATAATTTAAAAAAAAAACAAACAATTTTAAGCTATTTTAGACAATTATAATCGAAGTCAATCAACAACGTTTACCTGTTTAGAAAAGTTACATGTTTTGGCCTGTAACTTTTTACATAAACGAAGTTTATGTTTCTATACTAATTATGTTTCTTTATGTCTAGTAACATTAAAAATAAGCGTACACCTGGAACTTAATCGCCTTTTGTCACTCGTTTAAAATTAGCACTAAGAATTATGTTTGCAATGAAACATCCGGACTTTTGAAGCGAAATTGAGAGTATGAGACCGTTATTTCAACGACTTGTCTGACGTAAGTAAAAAAGATATTTGTAGTGCATATTGTATTAAAGTTTTTGTAATATTTCTTGGTTTTTCAAGTTTTTTTCACGGATTTTCGCTTACTTCCAGATAGCCTTCAAATTGCGAAGGAGGGTTGGAAATTTGTGTGAGAATTGAATTCTTGGTGTTAAAAAAGTTCCTTTTGTGTATCTCGACTTTTTTTCCCACCACCAATTTTTTTTTATTTAATTTTACTTTTTTATTTAGATTATCGCACCTGTGGCTCCTCCTAATTGAGGTAGAGGATTGAAAATTTGAAGTGCCAATTGGAAGTGTCAAGTTTTTCATGCACTCCCGCCACACCAATAAATTAAATTTAGAAACAATTAACACAACGTTTAAAAACAATTCAAGAGTAAGAAATTCAGTTCAATTAGATTTAAAATGGAATTTACTTTTATCAGGAAAGCATTAATGGGAACAATTAAATCATTTCTCAATTTAGTGTGTATTTAAGTTTATTTATATATATATATATATATATATATATATATATATATATATACACATAAATAGAAACAGAAATAGAAATAGAAAAATCATCTTTATTCTGGGACTATGTTCCTTTATAATAACAGTATTGTTCATATAAATTAAGCATAAATCTGGCCAAAAGATCTATTACAATGAATAATAACAAAATACTAGTAATAAATTAAGTATAATAGCTCTTAGAATAAATTAACAAGAACAGCTGGGTAATAGGGGTTCAGTACTACAATATTGGAGCTAAAACAATAGCATATCTTACGTAGGTTTTTCTATGTGGTTTTTCCTACTGTATAAAATGGATTTCAATCTACTAAACAACATTCATACCACTAATATGTCATGACAAAGGTTACTGCAACCACAAACATGGAATTTATCATTTTGACATGATGTAATGTATATATAAATAATTAAATAAATAAATATTTTTTAAAAAAATAGCATAAATAATAATCAATGAATGAAATTAGAAAGGAACGCAAAGTCAATTTTATAGGTAAAGCATTGTAGTGATGGAATATAAACACTTACAAAAATAATAATAATAACTGTTAATATGTAAAGAAAAAAATTGTAAAAAAAAAATGATATACATATGTTCCCTAAGATATTTAAGTGATTATGCGTAACGATTAGGAGAAGAAAAAATAAAATAAAGTATATATATATATATATATATATATATATATATATATACAAAACACAAATTTAATACTTATTTATTTCCTTAACCTCTAAGATCATTGGCATAGCTTAATATTTATGAGTAAAAAAAATAATATTGAATATTAATATGCAATTTATAAATATTAT